GTCGCGTACGGCAGACGCGCGTTTCGTCGAGGAAAATTGCGTGCGGGATGCGTGTACACTGAGGACGCTAATGAGGTGCGTTTGTACACGCGCATGGAAAACTTCTTTCGCAAGAAGATTTACACAACCAGACTCGATAATAACCGAATCCGTGGCATCCGTTCGCGGTCGCTCGGTCGAGAGAACGGTCGCGAGAGAGTGCCGCACAAGCATATGTCTGCCGTCTCTAGTCAGAAAAATTACGATTCCCGGGCACGTTGTTACTCGAACCGAGTGATATCAGAACAACCCCGAGAAGAAGCCGCGTTGACGTAAGAGACGAATGGGTTGATGAGAGCTCGAGGGTGACGTAACGCCGAGGAATTTTGTAACGCGGACGAAAAAGGGATTGAGTTGACGAGTGCTCGACGATCCTCGATTGTATTAACGCTACACGGAGAGTATGTTCGATTTTTTTCTTCACGTAAATTCTCTTCAATTTTACTCAGTTTTCTGTAGCGCAGGAATAAACTGTCAATAAGTTCTATTTTACCGAGGAACTTGGCGAATTTTTAGCACATTTTAATTCCTAAAATACAAGGAGCACGTATAAAATAAAAAAGAAAAAAAATAGCACGTATAAAATAAAAAATATACATTATCGCCGAATGTCAGAGTCTGCTCCTCGACTACAAAATTCTATAGCGATTTTTATTATAAAATTGTCTCTATGTACACTGAAGGAAAAATTACCTTAAAATCAAGAAATATTTCTTTGATATGGGTGCCATTAACATATTTATCTAAATTTTCTTTATTTAAACCAAATATTGTTTACTTAAATCAGGTAAACAATATTTGATTTAAATAAAGAGAATTTAGATTTAAGTAAATATGTTAATGGCACCCATAAAAAAAATTTATTGATTTTAAGATAATTTTTCCCTCAGTGTATGTGTTTTAACCATTTTAACACTATACTATAGTATGGCGTTAAAATGGTTACGACACTTTCCAATTCGATGAGTTGCGAAAGAGATGGAAATCGTTCTTATGATTTTCTCACGATCTATTCCAAGATATTTATCGTCGTTCTTTTCGCCGTCTTGATAAACGCGCGACATTAGTGTGAGGGATGATCACGAAAAAGGATTTGCTTGTCGAAATAATGACCGCTCGACAATCGACTGTATTAACGCTATATTAACGTTTTAATTCTAAACGTGGATATAAAATTTACTCAGACCAACTTTTTCAACGTGACTGTTCTTAAAAACATATTTTGTTTTTCAATTGTAACTTTTTTCAATTTTATTCATCAATTTCAAAGGATTTAGCATCCTCGACGTTTTCCGATTAAAAAAGAAGAATTGAATGTCCATCATTTTCCTAATAGTTATGAGCAAATAAAAATTCACTGGCTACAATTTATTCATGTTTAGGATTTACGTAACTTTCTTATGTTTACGGTTTCAGGATTATATATATATATATATATATATATATATATATATATATATATATATATAAAATGTATAAGAGCGGCTAAATGAGTGCGATGCTTTTCGATTTGATGACTTTCACAAGCGATGAGTGCGATCGTTCTAACGATTTTTGCTTGTGTTTCGAAACTTATATAAAAAAAAAGAAATCGCCTTTTATGCACGCAAGAAAAGAAACCAACCCTTTATACGCGCAACATTGTAATGCGAGGCAGTCTTGCGGGACGTATCTTGGCGCGAAATAACAATCACGATGTTGGATATTAACACGCGGCAACAGATACCGACGATCACTACCTTTGGCTCGCAATTTTGTTTCGTTTTTCAATCTCGTCTGTCTTTCTCCGGTCTCATCCGTCCGGATCGGTCATTACACACACGCATGCTGCTAATTTTGCTAAATATTACTTACCGCTCTCATAACCCATCAACCTCTATTCCTAACGTCGAGCCACTAACTTTCAATCTGGACACTCCATTTCACACGCGGTGTACATTTAATAATAAGTGCGCGCCGTCATACGCGGCACAGCGCGTCATTATGGGATAACTCCTACGCTTCTATCTAATTAGGGACTACACGCGAAGAAAATGATATGGAGTCAACGGTGGATCGTTCTACTGTGAAAGATAAATAATGCGAGAGGCGACACACGATACGGAATCGCGAATTCGACTGCATCGCAATCTGTTGGCTATGTCAAGGTTCTCGATCCTTCAGATTCGACGAAAAAGAGAGAGGGAGAGAGAGAGAGAGAGAGAGAGAGAAAGACAGAGAAAAAAAGAGATGTCTTTTCGTTCGTTTTACGCGCTTCGTTTCGCCTGTGTCGGACGAATATTTATGCGATTATTATTGTAATGCGAAAGCGCGCCATTCACCTTCGTCAAATTGCGCCTCCCATGCGAGCGTGAAAACCCGCTCATTGTTTTTGTAATATATTGGCATGAGTACAAGGAACGTGTGTGTTGTGATCGTGAATCGTTGATATACGATGAATGATAAATATGGATGAGGCGGTAGCTAAATTATATATTTGGCAGCCTCATAAATCTCACCGTTGAATGTGAACCTGTATCCGCCGTTGTTTCGCGTAAACTCGGCGATGCGGGTTGAATGCTATTGGCTAAATGCGATTAAATATGGTTGATGAAGGATCATTTCTCTCTGTCGGCCTCCGCGTGAGAGCTTCGGGATTTCCACGAGAGAAATCACCTGGCGGTTCGAATTCGGGCGGGAATTGAATGACGAGACCGGCAGAAAACGCGAGCTCTTCTCCTTTCTTCGGCGTCTTTCACAGACGCGCGAAATGTCGCATCCCAGCGATCGTAACGAATAACGATTCGGGAGAGCACATTTTTGCCGGCCCGCGACGTTTTGCAACGGCAGTCGTTTGATGATCTCCTTAGAAAGTGGTTCGTCCGGCATTCGTCCCGCCGCCACGGCGGATCGTAGTCATTAGCTAAACCGTCACGAAGCGCCGACGTTTACGTGACGCACCAAATCAATCTGGGAGTCATAATCCCGGCTGGGCTCCACTCTAAATTGAATCGAGCTAGTTCGGCGGTAAATCCGCGGAGTGCAGCTCGTCGAAATATTACGCGAGTGAAAGTCGCGCCGTTTCGGTATAGCAGCGATGCACCTAGGAGTAATTCTAGTAACTGGTACGCGCGATCTCGCGGACTCCGTTTACCTCTCCCCCGTGCAATTTGCGCGATACCGGACGTAAAAAGCGAAATCTCCAGCGGACGGAATTGAAACTCGCAGCGAGCGAGCCGCACACTGGACGAACAACGGTGGTTAGGCGCGAAAGCCGCGGCAGAAAGGAACTGTGTCGAAAATTTTAACGATTAGGACTCGCCTTGCAGATTCAGCACATGCGTGCATCATAAGAGCCTTGTAACCCCGTAACCTCGAACTGCTAAACACTCGCCGGCGTTGGCAAATGTTCAGCGTTCCCGTTCCGCGGGATTGTCGACTTTCCTGCAAATTCTGTAATGCTATCCTGCATCATGACACGCTGCCGCTCAGTGTCCGCGTCGCGCGCCCTGATTTTTACGTAATCGCCGTTTGCACGAGGTTTCACGGCCACTTGGCGCCGCGGCACGAACAGACGGGCTCGAATTGTTGTTGTTGTTATATTTGCAGCGCATTTCCCGACAAGCGATTGCAAACGTCGAAAGTAGCGTAAAAAGTGTCATGGTCGGTTTTCCTGTAATTAGAAACAAGCGAAACTCAAGAAGCTTAATACTCGCATAATTACACCGTGTGGACTGCATAAAAAGTAGTACGATGTCTTATTATTGTTTGAAGTGTGGGAGCTCTTTTGTCCCGTTGGATTTGGAACACGAGCATATTCTTTTTCTCTCTATATACATAGTTTCTACGAAATAGTTTGTGCCAACGACCGCCGGGGCTGTCAGTTCATAGATACGTCGCGAAATAAACGAGACTCAGACGATTAATTTATCAAGATACGATTGATCCCATGCGATCGTGTGAATGGACGATTCGTCAAATTGATAGCACTTCTCAACAGTATTAATGATTGATGATGATAATACGGTTGTTACTTTAGTTAAATTCTGAGAATAGCGATGAAGTTCCTTATTCTTTCAAAGTGAATCAGTAAAAATGTTAGTACTTTCTCTTACTTAAATAAAACGTCAATATATTCATTGAATATACTTTAACTCGAAAGTGTGTGATTAAGATCATCTTTAGAAAACTCTGCGTAAACTGAGTCCTTACTCTCTGAAAGTAAATCAGTGAAAATGTTTTGGATTAGATCGATAAAAGGACCATTTCACGCCGATAATCAGTGAATATTTATTGATTTTCAGTGGAAACACTTCCAGCTTTACTGCTTCATCTTATATCTGATTGATTTTAATCAGTGCAAGTAAGATTTCACTGCAAAATCTGTACACTATGAATTTGTTATGCGCTGTGTTAAGTTCAACTATTTGCGTTTGCGACGGTGGAATTACCGGTTTCTATGCGATTTCGGTGCAATAACTATTCATGTTTGCAAACTGCATCAATAATAGGAACAGTTGCTTTATCAACTAATTCTTTCAGCGAGATTTTACTAATTGCAATGCTATACCTATAATTGAACCACCAGTTATAAGCATAGCATTTCAGTGAAGAATACACTGATTGTGTTTTAAAGAGTAGATAGTTATTACTTGAAACTCTGGTCTCAAGCGAGATACTCAGATTTAAATATAAAGTTAGACGATAGTCTTTTTTTTTCAATTGAATGATGTGGAAATTTAACATATATTATAATTATTCTAAAAAATTTTAATTTGAGTAAGAATTTGAGTATCTCACTTGAGACAATTTCAGGTGACAAATATTAATATATGTCTTAGAAGTGGAAAATAGCATATTTACACGAAGGACGACCAAGCCGTTAAAATATCCGCCGATGAACTGATGAAAAATTCAAGCACGTAACACCGCGTCTTGCGAAATTCAATTATGATAGACCGTGCTCTTCCTTTCTGTTCAAGGTCCGGGAGTATGAGGGCTATTTGCTTACTCCTGCTCGGCGTCGCCGTCGTGAGTGCCCAGCGTCGTTTAGCCTTGCCCGATCCGCGAAGCTGCGCGAGCCGTAAGTATATTCCAGCAACATATTTCGTAATCGCGCGCTCTAAGTGCGGACGGCTAACTAGGTGGAAAATAACGGGAAACCGGGGTCGGCAAAAGACAGAGAGAAGAAAGAGAAGACGCGAGTACACACTGGGGCATTCTTCATTCATTAGGATGCAGTCACGTTGATTCACCGCAGCTTCGTGTAAATAATTTCTCGCATTAGCCGTCGAACGTTTGCATAGAATTTCACTTCATTGACGATCTTTCGCGACGCACGATATTGTGAATCAGCCGAACTCGTTATTTGGACGATACGAATGCTAAAAAATGGCGTAAGAAATGATTAAATTATTCCAAATGGAACAGCTAATTTGTTCGCAATTTTACATTCGTTAAGCTTTACATACGAGTGTGTGATCTTCGGAATATTTGCACGATGATACGACTGCAGTCGTATTTTGTATTTTCTTGATATCCTTTTCAGTTTTAATTCTTATTTTTTTAATTCTAATTTTTAATTTTAATTTTTAATTCTTATTTTTAATTCTTATTTTTTAATTTTTATTCTTGGAGATTAGAGAAAGTATACTATAAATTTGCTGTTCTCACTTATTCTCTTCAGTTTAACGATTCAATAACAGACATGGAGTTTCATATTTCTTCTTTCTCCTCTCTCTTTCTCTTTTTCTCTCTCTCTCTCTCTCCCTGTAAGCTACAATAGACATTTATAAATTAATGAATAGTTATATTTAACAAAGTTCTTCATGAGCTGGCAATAGAATATGATCACGATTAATGATATTATCAGTGACACATTAATGTATTTATTATCCAGGCGTTCGTCACGCATCGTACAGGGATGGCAGGGGGGTCGCTCACTCATACTTCTTCAGCTGGGAACATCAGCCGACCAGAAGTCTTGAGGTTGACTGGCTGGACGCTCGCAACATCTGCCGTCGTCACTGCATGGACGCTGTGTCCCTGGAGACTCCACAAGAGAACGAATACATCAAGCAGAGAGTAGCGAGAGGTGAGCTGACGACGGTAAACACGGATACGCAATTATCTGTCAATTTTATCCGCTATAAGAGACTTCTTGTGACGTCTCATGAACGGCTGATTTGGAAAAGGCCGACTCGTAAATTCCCGATCGTTCATTTCGACAGACCAGGACACTGACAAATTGCAGATTTGCGGATTCGACGGTAATCCGTGTTCTCCGCGTCTCGTGACCTCGTCATTTCTCAAGAGCCTTATTCTGAGCGCACGCTTAACGTTAACCCATTTGCATCAGAAGCGGACACATCCGTTCACTTCGCCTGGCCATTATCACGGAAGCGGATATACTCGTGCGCAGTTCAAGCTTGCTTGACATAGAAATTCATGTCAACCTGCAAGCGAATCCAAGAATATTCATCGTAATGATACAAAATTCAATATTATAGAAATATTTGTTTCAAATCTCAAAATGATGCAAATAGGTTCAATCTGGCCATCTGACTTCAAGTTTGATTTTCCTCATATGAACGTCACGTATGACTATCGGCAGAATTAGAAAGATGCATTCAGCATTCGCCGTGAATACGGTCCAGAATATAGTCCCAGATCTCATTAGCGCCGAGGAATACGTTACTCGAGAACGAATTGTTCTGCAACTGATCCCGTGACTTGTTTGCGAGCGAATTTTCGCGTGGAGATCCACCGCTAGCGGGGAAGCCACCGGCACAAAGTGTAGCCCGCACGGAGCGCGTGAGAAGTAAAAGCGAATTCTTCTCGGTCGATTTACAGGCACAACGTTGCACAACGTTGGCAAGATTAGGTTTTGCGAGGGTAGTACCGATTTGCAGGCGCGTCCGTCGATTCGAATGGCGCAACTTCTCTCCGCGACAGCTCATTCCTCTACGTCGGCTTTTTATGACTCTGCCTGACCCTCGCAATTGATCGGCAAGGAATTTGAGTTGCAATTTAAGTTCGCAGGGGACTAGGTGCACGCGCGTGTGCCCCTATACAGGCCGAAGCGGGTCACTTTCACTTGACCGTTGATGCCCCGTGCGGAAAAGTCGACGTGAAAGGGACTTGGCGTACTTAGGATTTAACGATTTGTCTTCCGAGCGCTAATGAGATGTTTGTTGCCATCAAAGTGGGTGTTACATCGATCACCCGCGTTTGTCAACTTTGGTTCGAGCTTTGGCATCGTTGTCTACGCTTACGAATTTAAAGCCCGTATTAATAATCGTTACTTGAAGCTTACCTCAGGTGAGACATACATATTTGAATTTAGAGTTAGATGTGAATTTCTCAGCTGAATCGTAATTACAAGTATAGCGCCACGTATATCATATAATTCAATTGAAAAGTTCTATTTTATTTCTAAAAGGTTGTGTTATAGATATTACTTGTTTCAAGTGAGATATTCAGATTTGGATTCAGGGTTAGATGAGAATTTTTTAATTGAATCACAATTACAGACATAAGTGTCAAATATATTATAATTCAACTGGAAAACTTAGATCTAACTTTGAACAAAAATCTGAATATCTTGCATGAAATTAGTTTCAGGTAACAATTATTAATACAGACTTAAATTTAGATCTGTATCTTACGTGAGATAAGTTTCGAATAACGACAATTATATATGAGCCTAAAACAGTCGTTGAATTTTATCTGCCTTGCGTGATGTACTATATTATATATTATTAATTCATATTATTTATCTCATATATATTATATTATTAATTATCTAACATATACGGCGTAATAAGACGTCGTATTAACATCTAAGCGTAGATCATCGGACTTGACTCGTTTAATTGTTCAATGAGGAAAATCGAAAGCTGAGGCTCTGCGGAAAACCGCAAATTCGAAGCATAATAAGGAAATGTCGGGCGAAATTTAATTCGAGGCATCATGACCGGAGGATGAAACCGCGAGTGAGCGAGTTCGGCGCCTTCGAGAAGTTTAACATCCGCATCTTTCGTCACGGCCTATCTTAATTAATTCGCACGGAGCTGCGGGTGACGTGCTCAAACTTTGAGGAACAGTCGCGCTCTTTGCATTCACTTTTCGTACAAATTTGTTTTTTTATAACTCACCCATGAAACACTTGCGAGTTTGTCCAAGGTCGCTCGCGGATGCAAATTCGCATTTCGCATTAAAACAAACCGAAACAGCGAACCCTCGCAAGTCGGTTGTGCATCGCGTATTATTACACGAAGATACTTCGGAGTTAGTAATTTCCTTGTTAATGACAATAATGTCGCGACTCGTGCATATGACATTTTAGACGAGCTTGAAGTTATCGCTCGGCCAACAGCATGTTATTTGATTAAGACATTTCGCCATCATTAGGGGAATGATAGTCGTTAACCCGCGCTTCGATCCACGCTTGATACTTATGAACAATCCATTGTCATTTTATTTCGACTAATTCTACACGCGAAAAAAGGTTCTCGTTGCGACTACGGTGACGCGGACTTCCGGATATAATCGGTGGGTCTCGCGAACCATTATTTAGAAACTGATAAGTCGTTTACCGTGTAATTTATCGTCGCCATTCAGACAGAAAGACAGTAAGAGATTCGGTCCTTTCCTTCGTCATGGGTTTACTCGCAGCGCTTTTCTCGACTATCTGTTTCTCAATATAAATTAAATATATCGCATTTCTGCGCATTGAGCTTCGTTATTTCGAGGACAGGTTTGAGCTTACAAATATTTATATTATATCGGTATCTTATATTAACGGTTTCACCAGGAAACGTAAGATACATTTGGACGTCTGGTCGCAAGTGCAACTTCAACGGTTGCGACCGAGCTGATCTCCAGCCCCAGAACATCAACGGATGGTTCTGGTCCGGATCTGGCGCCAAGATCGGACCAACGACCCAACGTAACTCCGGAGACTGGAGCAATACAGGAGGATACGGTCAGCCACAACCGGACAATCGCGAGGCTGCACAGGTACGGTTTCGATGATCATCTGTTAATCCTTAATGTACAGCACAAAAATGTCCAAAAGCATCCCAGAGACGTCCCAACCACGTTGTGATATTTCTGAATCATCTCTAGGATGTATTTTGAATATTTGTGCTGTATGGAGTCTGGATAATGAGTGAATAAGGAATATAAAAACAAGATTCGCTTAAGGAATGAATCTTGCACTCTGTGTTTTAGCCATTTGTAAACTCTCGACGCTTCTATAGAGACTCGCTTCTTCTATATAGATTCTATATAAGTTATATAATTGATATAAAACTAATTTGATTAAAAAAAAACTGATATAAAATTGAGACAAAAATTTTTTTTGTGAAAACAGAAATGTTTACTAAAGAGCGTGACGAGGTCATAACGGAAATATCTCAAGCAATAAAATAAACTGTGTAATTTTGGGAGTAACGAAAATGTCAAAAGACGCCCTCTCGCTAAAAGCGGGCCAAACGGCTCTAACACGCTTTCTTTTGGCGTCGACCCCGTGAAACTTTGATTTATATTCTTGCAGAGTAAAGTGAAAGTACTTTGGCATCTTCAGATTTATCGTTGCTCTTATATGTGACCTTTCGCATCGTTTATTCTTATCAACGCGTCTCGCTCTCTTAACTTGGCTTAGAAACTTGAAATTAGAAACGGTTTAAGATCTTATTTCTTCATTTTTATGAGAATAACGATTTTGGAAGCATTATAATTGAGAGACTATTTTGGCAATCTTCATAATATTCGCAGAAAAGATAGCTTTAATTTCATATTATTGAAATAATTGAGCATGTACCATCCCTCAGTCCGAGATAGATTTTTTTGGATTAAGAATATGAGAATAGGAATAATTTTCCCGTTTCTTGCAGGGTAATGACGAGTCTTGCCTGTCTATCTTGAACAACTTCTACAACGACGGCATCAAGTGGCACGACGTGGCGTGTCATCACGTGAAGCCCTTCGTGTGCGAGGACAGCGACGAGCTCCTCAACTTCGTCGCGTCCCGAAATCCAGGGCTCCGTTTGTGAAAGGCGACCGCGGCGGACTCTCGGGCAAGCAGACTATCGTCGTGCATCGAAGAAAGAAGCGCGAGGAACGGAGACGCGGCGGTGTTACACGAGCGGTGTTACCGTGCGCTCGCGCGCGCACACGTCTCTGTCTCTCTACTCTTTCTCTCTGTCGCACCTTTATTTATAATTACATACTAACCGATATCTCCTTCTTTTTAACGGCCGCGATTGTAGTGCTACGCGATTCACCGTAAGCGGAATGATAGGTAGCTCGAATGCATTTAGTATTATATACAACGTAATTCTTGTAATTTTTGTATTCTTTTCGTAAGAGAATAAATGCATTATCTCATTTGTAGCGGAGGATATACCGTAATTTTCCCAAATTTAATTTCCGAGAGAAAATCCTTAGTTTTCAATTACTCACGACTTAAGGGAATGCCGAAGTCCTCGATTGGTTGTAAAATGCGCCGATCCAGTTGTCTCTCTGGTTCATCTCGATTGTAAGAATATGATAAATAAAATCTGTGTAAAATATAAACACACATGTATGTGTGTGTGTGCAAATAAGTAGTATTTGTGTGCACAAAAAATAGCAAAGATAAAATCACGACCAATCATGACTCGATTTTGTTTATGGTTACGGATACGGATATGTTTACGGACCATTGGACTCGCACCTTTACACCAATGCTTTAGCGAGTTGGCGTCAATATGGCATCGGAAAGTGTACCTAGTGCACACTTTCATAGTCTAGAAACTCGTAAAGTGCAATTGTCCTAGCTGCATTCTGTTAAAGCATAAAAGCGAAAGCTGTATTGCGTGAAAAACATAGAAAAATGCTAGGTTGCTGTGTCGAGAGATGCAAAAACCGCGCCGCATCGTGGCGTCAAAAAGACGGACGATTGTGGTACTTTGATTGGTTTCCAACAAGAGACACAATTCGACACAAGTATCATCCTATCTTTGGGTGCTTTCCAGTTGCATATACTGCGTTATTATCTTACAAGATATTTTAGATAATATGTGACCAATAAACTGGTTTTGTGTACGTCAAGATGTGTTAAGCAATTGGAAAGCACCTTTTGTTACTCACTAAGGGTGCTATTTCACGTGTCGTACGACAAGCTTTTCGGATACGTTTATTGGTTGGCGAGTAGAGTATTTCTAGGTTCTCTGTTCGTCAACCAATGAACGTATCCAAAAAGCTTGTCGTATGACACGTGAAATATCAGCCTAAATGTGAAACAAAGATAGAATAATGTTTGTGTTGACTTGTCTCTTGTTGGAAAACAATTTTATATATCTCTTATATATCCTTATATATCTAGTGATTTTAAGGTCGGTATTCATAGTCGAATCTTATTTCAAGACCTTCTTAAGTAATGTCTTAAGATGCGAATACGGCTTTGTGATTTGTTCATGACATCTTAAGACAGTACTTAAGATGATCTTAAATATAAGATCGGACTATGAATACCGGCCTAATGGCTCTTGCACACAGGACGCGGTAATGCTCGTGGCGGAAGTTCGCGCGACAGCCAATCAATATGCTGCTTTCCGAAATAACCTTCTAGCTCTTACGGAAAAACAACATATTGACTGGCTGTCGCGCGAACTTCCGCCGTGCGACAAGCATTACCGCGTCCTATATGCAGAAGCCATAAGAGTGAGACAAATATATCTTATCTCGCTCTAACTTATTGCTTTACAAATGGCGCCCAACCATAAGAAGTTATTCTTTTCAACGGATTTCCTGTCAATAGGGGACACGAAACAGGACCACTTTCTCTACTCGCGCCCTATCAAGTTCAGTCTCCTTATCTCTTACTTCATGGTGTAAGATACACAAGTGAATGCGTCACATACGCAGACCGCCGCCATGTTCTCGCATACAACCGGAAACCTCATACGACGCAAGTCCGAAGCCTTGGTTAGCAATCTTATGGCGTGTTACGGGGGGTCCGGGGAGCGAAGCCCCCCAGTTACATAGCTAGAGATAGACGGTATGACTGAATAATTACCAATTTTTTAATCAACAATTGTAATAAATTAATAGGCTTTTTAATACAACACGGTGTTTTAGCATCTACAATATATTATAGTATAATAAATATGATAACGAGCTAAATATTAATAAAACAATATTATGGTACCGATATAGAAAACGGTACAAAGATACATAAAAAACATGTTTTCACACAGTACTGGAAAACGCATGCGTATGTAGCCACAGAGCATATTTGTGTCAGTACTTTATGTCTATGTGATAGATTTTCTAACCTAACACGCCCTCAACTTTGTCTATTAATATCTCGCTTCGCAGTAGAGAGCGACAATTTTGTCAGAGGAAAAAGTTATTTGGTATGCAAAAACGCGTCGATTGAGTCTATTTTCATCGAAATCGGAGGTGAGGCCGCTAAACTAAATAATTACCATATATATATATATATATATATATATATATATATATATATATATACATATATATATATATATATATAATTAATAAAATGACAAAAATATTTTTGATATTATTCTCTTTCTCTCTGTCTCTCTCTCTCTATATATATTACAGATTTTAAGTTTAAATACATATTAGTAATGTATGATTAATTACGATTAATTTTGAGCTTTTGAATTTCGCGGCTGCATTCCTGATCATTTCTAATTGGTTCACTACACATTATGTCACTATGCGTGACGTCATCATGCACAAGGGTACACTTTTATATTTACATCATGGCAAGAGCCACTGAATTGAGGTGCTTTCATATATCCTTCTAACATAAACTTCAAACAAATACATGGTGAAAGGGCCAATGAGTTAGGCCTACAGCCGGAGAGAGAGAGAGAGAGAGAGAGAGAGAGAGAGAGAGAGAGAGAGAGAGAATTAAGGCGCTGTATATCGTCGTGTATGACATTTTTCCCAATCTTAGTACTCATCAACTTTGCCAATTAATTTCTCACTTCGCGGGGCAGAGCGACGTTTATTTCTGCCAAATTCTTATTCTACGTGTAAAACGTGTCAATTGAGTATATTTTCATCGATATTCGAGGTGACGTGAATAAACTGAATAATTACCCAATATTTAATTAAATATTCGCTCCAAGCGCTGGCTCTTATTGACTCAATAATATGGTTTATTTAAGTTGTATACTTTGTGCGCAAGAGTCTTTGTAGGTAGAAAGAATTATGGTTGTTTTAGATATATCAAATGTTGGGTATACAGAATACAATGAATGAAAAACTTAGTCAGACAAAGGACTCCAATCATCAAGGTAATACTTATAGATTTACTACAAAATTTATAATAATGATAAATTGCTAAATAAAAGTATTTTTAATGATCATATTTTATCTATTTTTAGATGGCATTCCTACTACAGCTAGAGCAATTAAAATAATGAATATACAGAGTCCATATGTAATGAGAGCTTATAATATTGCAAAGCGGGAAGAGGAAATTAACAAAATCAATGCACAGTTATGTGATTTTATCCAAACTCATCCTCTGAAAGGCAGTGATACAAAACATCTTAATGTTGATGATGTAATTTCACTATATTTTATTGAATTTGAATTATATCGAATAGATCATTGATTTTGTTTATCTAAAATATTTTTACAGTTTCAAACAATAAGGAAATAGTAGATAAGAAGTTAGAATTTTATTAAATATTTTACAGTTTATTTAAAATTATCTTGAACACATATACTTGCATTTGTCCATTTTCAAAAATTTTAAGTTTCATATTTTTGTATTTATTGAAGAAGCTGCAAACTATTTAAAAAATTATAATTCAATTAAAAACATTCAAATTCATCTTCTTATAACTTTAATGTCTATCTATAATAGAACTATTGTTGATACATAATGTATCAACGTCTCTCAGAACTTTAAGATCTTTTAATTTAAATTTGTTGATGATGGATAGAGTTATTGCCCTAAGTAGTTAATCAAGTTAAAAAAATATAGATATATATTAAAACTATATTAAAATATATTAAAAAGATGTTATAACCCCTAGGATTATTCATATTGGTTTTCAAACATATTTTCTTTTTTTATCACTGAATAATTGTCAGATTACACGTGAAACAAAATAGTTGATATTTTTTTAGTTCTTGGAGAATGTCGTGGTAATTACGCGCAGTAGCACGATTGTATCGTGAACGCTTTTCTAATAAACGTCAGCATTGACCACTACAGATCACATTGACCCAATGACATGACTACATATCTGAACATAAAATTTTCCGCTCTTTTTATTTCTGCTGTCAAAAAAAGGGGTTCCTATTTAAGAAATCGAAGTGGACCTTGAAATACCTTGACAATGGCCGCCAAGATCAAAGTCAAGGTCACCTTCAGATACCCCTCTTCAAACCTTACAACTTTTGTTTGAAACATTTTTTCTGAAAATGCTTTTCTGAAGATATTTTCCCAGCAAACAATTTGTTACCAAATTGTCGCCAAATTGACACCAAATATGACCAAAACTTGATGGCAAATCCGATGCCATTTATGTCCGCAATATGCTTGGGTTTTGTTAGCAAAGCTTGGTGACAAAATCTAACGCCAAATTGTTGCTAAATATCGAGCAAAGTTTGGCGTCAAACTACGCCGCACAAACTTTGGCCGGTATTTGGCGTCAATTCGGTGTTAGATTTCATCAAGCTTTGTTCGGTATTTGGCATCAATTTGACGTCAAACTGCGCCGCACAAACCTTGCTCGGTATTTGGCGCCAATTTGCCAACAACCTTTGATTTAGCAGATGTTATGTCCAATTTGATGACATTTTGGCAGCAAAATTTGTAATCAAGTGTTGGGCAAAATTTGCTTGAGCAGATTTGACTATTTGGGTTAGTGCAACTTTTAAAATGGGATACCCTGTATATACATATATACATACATATATATATATATATATATATATATATATATATATATATATATATATATATATATATATATA